AGCCATCATTGTTGTTTGGCGGGCCCGGGCTGGGGATTCGAACCCACCACCTTAGGTGTATGTGGCTGGCGCCTTAGCAGCTTGAGCCACAGGTGCCAAGCCTAGAATGCCATTTTTTGTATGTCTGAGTAGTATACCATAATATGCATATACCACATTGTATTAATCCATTCATGTACTGATGGGCCCATATAACACATTGTATTAATCCATCATGTACTGATGGTTGTTTCTACATCTTTGTGATTGTGAATTATGTTGCTATAAACATTGGAGTGCAGATATAGCTCTACTTCAAAAGTATTTTTAAGGCTGGGTGCTTGTAGTTCAGTGGTTAAGGTGCCAGTCATATGATCCAGGGCTGATGGGTTAGAACCTGGCCCAGGTCTGCTAAACAAAAGAAAACAACAACAAAAAAAATAGCCAGGTGTTGTGGCGGCCGCCTGTAATCCCAGCTACTAGTGAGGCTGAGGCAAGAGAATCACTTAAGCCCAAGAGTTAGAGGTTGCTGTGAGCTATGACACTATAGCACTCAGCACTCTACCAAGGGTGACAAAGTGAGACCCTGTCTCAATAAAATAACAAAAGTATTTTTTAAATGATTGTCCTACAGGTACTTAAAAACATTTTTTTAAATTGTGGTGAGAATATACATATCATAAAATTTACCATCTTAACCATTTTTTAAGTGCATAGGTCAGGGGTGTTAAGCACACTCACATTGCTCTGCCACCATCACCACCCTTCATCTCTAGAACTTTCTCATCCTCCCAAACTGAAACTCTGTTCTTATGAAACACTAACTCCCCACCCCATCTGTCCTCAGGTTCTGGCACCCACTATTCTACTTTCTGTTCTCTGAATCTGATAGGTCCAGGGACCTCTTGTGAGTGGAACCACACACTGTGTGTCCTTCTGTGTCTGCTTCTCTCACTGAGCATGATGTCCTTGAGCTCTATCCACATTGTAGCCTGTATCAGAATTCCCTCCCTTTTTAAAGGCTGAATCATATTCCATTGTTTGGTTGGACCAAATACTGCTTATCTATTCATCAGACAAAGATCATTAACTTGTTTTTGTTTTGTTTTGTTTTGAGACAGAGTCTCACTATGTTGCCCTCAGTAGAGTGCTGTAGCATCACAGCTCACAGCAACCTCCAACTCTTGGGCTTAAGCAATTCTCTTGCCTTAGCCTCCCAAGTAGCTGGGACTACAGGCCCCTGCCACAATGCCTGGCTATTTATTTGTTGTTGCAGTTGTTTAGCTGGCCAGAGCTGGGTTTGAACCCGCCACCTTTGGTGTATGTATGTGGCTGGCACGGTAACTATTGTGCTATGGGCGCCAAGCCCATTAACTTGTTTTTTAACATATATATATATATATATTTTTTTTTTTTTTGAGACAGAGCCTCAAGCTGTCCCCTGGGTTAGAGTGCTGTCACATCACAGCTCACAGCAACCTCCATCTCCTGGGCTCAAGGGAGTCTCCTGCCTCTGCCTCCCAAGTAGCTGGGACCACAGGGGCCCCCCACAACGCTTAGCTATTTTTGGTTGTGGTTGTCATTGTTGTTTGGTGGGCCTGGGCTGGATTCGAACCTGCCAGATCAGGTGTATGTGGCTGGTGCCTTAGCCACTTGAGCCACAGGCGCCAAGCCTAAAAAGTATTTGAATAAATGTATTTCAACATAATAAATGTCCTTATAAACTCCTGTGTTTTGATTGCATCTGCAAATGGTATTTTGAGAAAAGACTCTTAAGCCTTTCCAGTCCAGGCCATTGATGGCTTTGCCAGCCTTTTCTTCTGTAAAATAAATAAATAAAATAATTAAATAAATAAATAACTTTATTTAATTAAATAAAATAAATAAATAAATAATATGTTTATGACTGCATTGATGTAAAGACAGATACAGTCTAAGATGGATTATATTCACTGTATTTTCCCCCTGATTTCAAAACAAGTGAAAACATTTCTGTGGGCTCTTAAAAAGCATGGGAGATATGGGGTACCTTGTCTAGCTATGCCTTATGGATATGTCAACCCTGAGTCCATTAGTCCAGGACCCCCAAAATGTTAAGAGCCCTTGGAATTTAACAACAACAACAACAACAACAACTCAGTACTACTGGAGGCGCAGGTTGGGGACGGCTGAGAAGGCGGGCAGCGGCAAGACTGGTGCCCAGGCTTGGGGGTCGTGCGTACTTGAAAAAGACCGCAGCGCGGGCCATGCATGGCTGAGGGGGCTCAGTTCCTCAGGGCTGGGGGCCACTCCCCCGAAGGCAGAGCAGTGGGGCCAGGATGGTGCAGCCGGAAGTCCAAGCGGTTCAGGATGGAGGCTCGGCCCGTAGCAGTTCAGTCTAAGAAAAACAGCCCGCGCTCGGAGGCAGAGGGAAGAGGACTCAAGAAGTACACACTCTTCCATTTTGCAGGCTAGAAACAGGCAAGCGACGCCCAGCAGCTGCAGATGTTGCAGGCGCACTGGGCCAGCCCTAAGGTAGGAATAGAGAAGGTGAACCGCCAGATAAAGGGTTTCTCCTGCCAGGCCCAGGTGCTCGTGCACCTGGACCACCCAGTCTACCACTACTGCACGCATCCCCGGGGTCACAGAGCGGGGCAGGGCTCTCTGGGGCAGTGCGCAGCTCCACATGACTTCAGCAAAGATGTTCCCAGCGTACTTGCGTTCTTCCTCTAACCCCAGCGCGCTCAGTTCCTCCTCCAGCCCCGAAGGGGCGCAGGGCCCCAGGGCCTCTCTGGGTGTCCCGGGGAGACACGTGCAGCTGTGGCCGCTAGAACGCCATCAGGTCCTGGAGGTCTTGGAACCGCTGTCAGGGGAGGCAGCGGGACTCAGCATCCTTCGGGCTGGCGTCGCCTGCAAAGCCAAGCACCAACCACTTCCAGATGGAGAGAGCGGCAAGCGCTCGACCCCAGCGCTCTGGGAGGCTGAGGAGGGAAGATCACTTGAGGCCAGGTGTTGGAGACCAGCCTGGGCAATACAGTGAGACCTGGTCTGGTCGTGCAAACGCCACTGGATTCTGGGAAGCACTTATCACTCTTTGAGATGCTCTCATTTAAAAATTGTGGTTACAAAAAAAAAAAAAAAAAAAAAAAATTGTGGTTTCTTTCTCATCCGGCCCCCGCGAGACCGTGAGCTCCCCAAGGACAGAGGATTGTCCACTCTTGTCCCCTGCAGCGGTCCTCCACGCTCAGCAGATGGACACATTTAAAGAGGGAAGGGTGATGGGTGTGGGGAGCTGCGGGGACTTTCCCCGCCCCGCGTGGGCAGGGCTTGGAAACCTCAAGTCCCTCCCTCCAGCCCGAGAGCGGAAGGGGCAGTGCGGCCCTCCTGGTCTCCCCAAGGGCTGCGTGGGTGGAGCAGCCCGAGCTTCTGCGCGGTTTGGTGTCGCTGCCGTGGATAGGACGTCCGCCTGGAGCAGGGCCTGAGTGCTGGGGCTGCTCGCCTGCTACCACGGCTCCCTCCCTGGTAGGTCGAGAAGGGGCGGGGACGGGCCGAGAGGGGACTGGTGGGGAGGAGGGGGTGTCGGGGCAGCCCCGCCGGTGTGCAGGTGCCTTCTTGCCAGGGCTCGAGGCCATCTGGCTTACTTTCCGGGACTCTGGGGTCCTAGCTCCACGTGTTACAGGCCGCCTCTACCTTCAGCTCCCTTCCATGGTGGCCCAGATACTGCCTCACTCCCCGATTCCTCCCCAACACCCCAAATAACTCCCTGACACCCCAGCATTATTCTTAATGCCCTGGATCCCTCCCCAACACCCCAGATTCCTTCCTAACATCCCAGATCTTTCCCCACCACCCCAGAGTCTTCTCCAGCCCCCTATATTCTTCCCTAATGTCCCGGACAACTCTCAACTCCCCAGATCCTGCCTCTCTCACCCCAACACCCCAGATCCTGCCTCTCTTTACTCTGCTTCAGCCACACAGGCTGTTTCTCTAACATGCCAGGTACCGTCCTATCCCAGAACCGTTGCACAGCTGGTCGGTCTTCCTGAAGCTCTCTTCCCCCTGCCTTCAGGTCTCCGCTGAGTGTCACCTTTTCCCCTGAGCCCTCCCTTGATCACCCTTGCCCTCCCTGAGACTGTCTTGATGGCCTGGCCTTCCCAACACTTCTCATTCTCTGAACCAATCTTGGGTTATTTTCTCCTTTACTGTCGGTTTCTCTGAGATAGACTGGGAACTCTGTGGGGGTGATTTGCCTGTCTTGATTGGTCTGTAGTAGCACCTAAAACAGTTCTGGGACCCAGTACGTGCTTCATAAATGCACATTCAATGCATGAAGAGACTGTTCAAGAATGTAAGGGGGAGAGGAGGGAATGGGAATTTTCCAAATATGATTTAAAAATTTAAAAAAGAGGCTCGGTGCCTGTGGCTCAAGTGGCTAAGGCGCCAGCCACATACACCTAAGGTGGCGGGTTCTAATCCAGCCCGGGCCGCCAAACAACAATGCCAGCTGCAACCAAAAAATAGCCAGGCGTTGTGGTGGGCACCTGTAGTCCTAGCTACTTGGGAGGCTGAGGCAGGAGACTCACTTGAGCCTAGGAGTTGGAGGTTGCTGTGAGCTGTGATGCTACCGCACTATACCCTGGGGACAGCTTGAGGCTCTGTCTAAAAAAAAAAAAATTTAAAAAAGAAGATGGAAATGCATTCTATCAATATTTATCATTATGACATTATCATATTGAATTCTTGCTTCTTGCTGGGGGCTGTTCACCCTAAATGCCTCATTCATGTGGTTGTTACAAATAAGGAAACTGAGGCTAAGAAACAGACCACACAAGCCAAGTAGCAGAGCTGGGACCTCCCCCACCCTCATGGGTATTGTTTTGCTTTGTTTTGTTTTGTTTTAGAGACAAGGTCTTGTTCTTTTGCCCAGGCTGGAGTGCAGTGGCACCACCATAGCTCATTGCAGCCTCAAATTCCTGGATTTAAACAATCCTCCTACCTTAGCCTCCCAGGTAGCTGGGACTGTAGGTACATGCCACCATACCCAGCTAATTTTTTATTTTTTGTAGAGATAGGGTCTTGCTGTGTTGCCCAGGCTGGTCTTGAACTCCTGGCCTCAAGTGATCCTCCATTCTTGGCCTCTCAAAGTGCTAGGATAACAGATATGAGGCACTGGTCCTGGGCCCCTATAGATGTTTTTGCCCTGACATGCACACATTCTTCAGGGTGGGGTGTGGACTTTGTCCTGGAGGCTATAGACTGGAGCAGAGTAAACATCCGATCTTTCAGAGGGAGGAGGGGTGGTTCTGGGCAGGAGAGCCAGGCCAAACTGGTACAGTCACTGACTGAGGGTTGATTTGGGCTGTCTGGATGAGAGAATGAAAAGAAAGATGATGTGATTTTAGATATTTGCCAGGAATGCAGGTGGGGTGGTCCTGCCTTGATGATTCTGAATCTGGCTAGCTCTTATCTTTTTTTCCACAAAACTCTACTGAGTCTTTACTATAGGGTAATGTCTAACTCTGGTACCTGCAGGAAGCACGCAGCAGCCACACATGTTCATGCTTCGTGCTCTTTGGGCTGCCACTGTGACTTTGCCGCTGTGGCAGAGTCTGCTTTAAGATCCTGTGTGAATGAATGAAATTCAATCACCCTAAGGTGGCGGGTTCGAATCCAGCCCGGGCCCGCCAAACAACGACGGCTGCAACCAAAAAATAGCCGGGCGTTGTGGTGGGCGCCTGTGGTCCCAGCTACTTGGGAGGCTGATGCAGGAGACTCGCTTGAGCCCAGGAGTTGGAGGTTGCTGTGAGCTGTGATGCCATGGCACTCTACCCAGGGTGACAGCTTGAGGCTCTGTCTCAAAAAAAAAAAAAGATCCTGTGTGAATGAATGAAATTCAATCTCATAGCAGCCCTAGCTGGTATGGCTCATTGCCAGGCCCATTTTACAGATGAAGAGATTGAGGCCTTTAAGTGCCCATGACTTGTCAGGGTCTGCAAGTGGCAATTTCCACTCCAAGAGAAAGAGGATGCCTTGGGGTTCAAATCTTCCTTTTGACTCCTTTTGTGTCACCAGGAAGATTTGAACCCCAAGGCATCCTTTTATCTCTTTCTCTCTTTTCTTTTCTTGGAGGTAACTCATTCCAGGTGGGCAGTGGGAGCATAAAGAATAACGAGGCAGGTACACTTCTCTCATATGATAATTTATGGCTTGTGGGAACATGGGCTAGACTTGGTCCCTTTGTTGATATTCCAAGAGAATTCAGAATGCAGAGTTTTGTACAAAATGGTCTTTGTTCACTGTTAACAGCTAATTCAAAATAATTTGATTCTTGGATTGCTGCCAGCAGGGTTGTCTGGGAGTCTCGGAACTTTTTTCCTTTTAATGTTTTTATTGACATATAACCTATCAACAAAATTTCTATATACAGAAAAGGGCTCAACACCTAAGCATTGAACTTGATAAATTTACGGAGTGAATACAACGTGATGCTCAGCCTCACTCATCCCCTGTCCTGGCACTTTATACCCTTCTTCACACTTTATCAGTTATGTCCTTTTATCAATTAAAAATGCGAGGGCACATGCCAACACATTTTTTTTTCTTTGTAAGTTACATACACAGGTATTCCTAGGAGCCATCAAGAGGTGGGAAGAAAAGTTGATTCAAGGATCATTGCTGTTGAGGAGGGTATTGGGCTATATTGCAAGTAGTCATCTTGATCAATTCAAAAATTTTTGGCTGACTTGTCCTATCTGAATATAAGATCTTTTTTTTTTTTTTGCAGTTTTTGGCCGGGGCTGGGTTTGAACCCGTCACCTCTGGCATATGGGACTGGCACCCTGCTCCTTTGAGCCACAGGTGCCACCCTCATTTTTGTTTTTTATTCTACTATGTGCTGAGCTCACTTCAGAGGTAGGAGAAACTGGGCACTCTACCTTTTTCTGATTGGTCATTCGTGCCTACATTATGGAAAATCCTCTTCTCTATAGAAATATGAAGATTATTTCAATTAAAACTAAGTGAGGCCATTTCTCAGGACACAACCGGGTCCAAACGAGCTGGAGTCTGTGTTGAATCTGGAGATGTTAGAAGGAGCCCATAGGCTCAGAAGGTTTTAGAGCCAGTCAGGCTAGGTTCCAGTCCAGCTATATCCCTTTGGCGCCATGTGACTCTGGGTGACTGACTTAACCTTTCTGTGTCTCTGCTTCCTTGTGTCAAAAGTGGCAAGAGCCCCAACATTACCATTACCATTGTTGTGGAAATGTCTACACCTGTACCATTCAACAGAAATATATAAGGCACTTATACAATTAAAAATTTTCTAGTAGCCAGCTGGGCATTGAAGCGGGCACCTGTAGTCCCAGCTACTTGGGAGGCTGAGGCAAGAGAATTGCCTAAGCCCAGGAGTTGGAGGTTGCTGTGAGCTGTGTGACGCCATGGCACTGTACTGAGGGTGACAAAGTGAGACTCTGTCTGTAAAAAAAAATAAATAAAAGAAAACACTAAAAAAAAAAATGTCCAGTAGCTACATTAACAAAAGGAAAATGGGCTCAGTGTCTGTGGCTCAAGTGGCTAAGATGCCAGCCACATACACCTAAGGTGGCGGGTTTGAATCCAGCCCGGGCCTGCCAAACAACAATGACAGCTGCAACCAAAACATAGCCAGGCATTGTGGCAGGCGCCTGTGGTCCCAGCTACTTGGGAGGCTGAGGCAGGAGACTCGCTTGAGCCCAGGAGTTGGAGGTTGCTGTGAGCTATGATGCCACAGCACTCTACCCAGGGGGACAGCTTGAGGCTCTGTCTCAAAAAAAAAGGAAAATGATATGAGTGAAATTAATTTTAATAATACGTTTTATTTAACCCAATATATCCAACATATAATTAATATAAAACATTATGACGGAAGCATCTTCTGTCCCTTTTTTAGTACTAATTCTTTGGAATCTGGTATGTATTTTACTGGTTGAATTTTCAACAAAATGAAATGTGGTTCTACTGAAGAAATAGTTGTAATTAATAGGAAAAACTTTTTCTTACACTGCTTCAGGTTTCATATTTAAATTTCAGGCTGGGTACAGTGGCTTGCACCTGTAATCCTAGCTTTCTGGGAGACTGAGGCAGGATCCCTTGAGCCCAGGAGTTTGAGCTTGCTGTGAGTTAGGCTGATGCCATGGTACTCAGGGGGACCGAGGGAGACTCTTGTCTAAAAAAAAAAATTGAATGGATTGCCAATTTGGCAAAAATGAGCAGATTCCTGAGAATCTGGATCTTTGGTTTCTTCTGAATAATTAGCAGATCCAGTCCTGCTAAGCTTATTGTTGCTTCTGGCTACAACTTGCTCCAGGCGAATCACAGCCAATGCAAAGTGAGGGTGGCTCCAGTTTTTCAGGTTTTACTTTTCTCCGGGTATAGACCTGCCTTTCACCTTTCTGGCCTTCCCACCTTCTCTCCCCCTCACTGTGCTGAGCCACAGGGTTCTCCTAACATACCATGTTCAATCTTGCCCCGGGGCCTTTGCATGGGCTGTTTCTAGGAATGCTCTTCCCTTAGCTGCTCTGTGGATCCCTCTCTCAGCATTTTCATGTCTTGCTGAAACGTCTCTTCTCACTGAGACCTCAGACTCTGTTGTTTAAAATTGCAAAGACCTGTTCATACATGATATTCTTGGCCTCATGCCTGCTTTGTGTCTATGGCATTGAACTTTTATTTGGTTGTCTCTTCACTCCACTAGGAAATCTGCTGTTTTTTCTGTTTCTGCTGGTTCTCCCTCACTGTCAGCACTTCAACATGTCAGGCTGCTTCCATATTTTGAAACAGACAGATGCTGCTCTGGGAATCTGTCCCCCCGTCCCCTCAGGCCCCTATTGCCAGACACTTCTCACATTTGCTCCTTGACACTGGCTTCTTCTGACCTTCCTGAATTCTTTGACTTTGGCCCTCGGGCTGCCCGGACTTGCTGAGAAGGAACTTAAAAAAAAAAAAAAAAAACCTGAATCATTTATATAATGAGGCCTGTGGCTTATCAGCCAAGGGGGTTCATCAGTAAGTTAGCAACTCTTGGTCTACACTAGGCTATCTCAGCTTTACCACCAGCACTATTTGGGGCCCAGGTCATTTTCTGGTGTGGGGGCCATTCTGTGCATTGTAGGGTATTGAGCATTACCAAGTGTCCCCGGTATGTGGGGTGGCACAGAACTGTCCCTGGCTGAGAGCCACTGATCTAGGCTGTTGGGTGGTGTGCACTAGGCTAGGCAGGCAGTGGATTTCAGCCCAGCCAGGCTGAGGGGCAGATAAGGTGTTCTTAGCTGCCCAAATGACTTAAGACTGTGTTTTCCCCCTCACTCTGAATATGGATGTGCCCTCGGGGAAACCCCTTTCCCTGGGCTTCAGATTTCTCTTTCACAACATTGAGTACCAGCCTCCTTCATACAAGTACTTGTTAAGTATCTCCTCCTCCTCCTCCCAGTAATACCCAGGAGAGACTCAGCTTTCACTTTCTGAGGCTCACAATCTAGTGGGGAGGAAGACAGTAAATGCAAAAGACTAAATACACAAGAACTCATCTAGTGACTTATTCTGGTGGTGAGGGAAGAGGGTGACATGGAGAGAAAGACTGGATAGGTAACTAGAGTGGTTGCAGAGGTCCCCCAAGGTAGTGCCATTGTGCCTGAGCCAAGAAGGATGTGATGAGGGCCACCAGACAAAGGTATAGGGAACCCACACACATGGAGAGGGAATAGCAAATGCAAAGAGCCCAAGGTGAAATTCAGCTTGGCATTTTTTGAGAAAATAGCTTCCAAATGGCATGGCAGCCCTGTTGGCTGTAGAGCTTGCATTGGCCATGATTTGATCTTTAAATTAATAACATTAGCTGTATCAGTTAGCAATTGCTGTATGACACATTGCCCTAGGACTTTGTGGCTGAAAACAAACATTTATTATTTTATAGTTTCTGTGGATTGGGAGTTTACGAGCTGTTTTGTAGTTGGGTGGTTTTGGCTTGGGGTCTCTTTCTTTTTTTTTTTTTTTGAGACGGAGCCTCAAGCTATCCCCTTGGGTAGAGTGCCATGGCATCACGCTCAC